GATGACCAGGTGGATCCAATCAAGGAGGATGAGGCCCACTTCTAGCAGCTGATCTGGAGGTGTGAATTCCAAGAGAATAGAAGCTGCTTTTGTAGTTAGCAAGCCATTCACAGTCTTTGTTTAATCCAGAGTTGATTGTGTCTACAGTATTTGTGGAAAATGTTCCTGTCATATATATCTGTATAGAATGGCAATGTGGTTTTCAGTCACCTTTACTGGACAATACAACCACGTCAAGGGAAGATCCTAACTTAAGAAAATAAGTTCTGCAGTGTCTCTTCCACTAAGACTTCTAGCACCTCCAGAAACTGCTTGAGTCACCTAGTGTAATGGTCATGTGCAGTTACTCAAAAAAGAGTTACTCACCTTCTTGTGCCTGTCACCAAGATTTCCACTAAGTTGAGTGGCAGCACAGCCTCTCAGCTGCTTAAATAGCCTTTCCCAGTCAAGCAGCTCCATGCACAGTGCCCCGAGCCCCTATCTGGACTGGACTGATTAAGCAGTTGCAGCGCTGTGCAGGGCAGCTTAGAGGGAACCTTGCCTGTCACCCTTGAGATATATTGCCTGTGTCCATTATCTGATCCATCCTCCTTCGGCAATCCAGCAGAATCTATCATCTAAGAGGCTGGTACAAAGGAATGTACAAAGGTACAATGATGCTGGGGCAGCTGTGCTCTTCATATTCCCATCTTGGGTGCATGGAGAACACCAAGGTTCAAACCAGTGTTCCCTCTAATCTGCACAGAACAGTGAGCCTCTGACTGGGCGGGGCTAATTAGTCACCTGTGAAGCTGTGCTTCCACACAACCTAGAGGGAACACTGCTTCAAGCATGACTGCCGCTATGCATATTGTAAGGGAAAACCCTCTGGAATAGGTACTGTAATGGACACATGCAAAACACTGTGAATAACAACAATAATAGAAGGTTTTTTATTTATAAGTTTTGTAAATAAGTTGTGGAAATGCACAGAGAAGGAAGTGTGAACTAGTCAGACCAGAACAGCTGCACTGTGAAAACTTTTTCTTACCAGGAAAAGTTCCTGCCCATTTTATCTATAGTGTGGTCTTTTGTTTTCTGGTTGAAGAAATGTGAAGCAAGTGTTGCTTTATTTAGAATAACTGGATCATTTTTGCTAACATTTCCTTTAAAATTACAGAGAGACACACATCCTGGAAAATTTCAGTCCCAAATGTGAAAATTTTAAAAAAACAAACTTGAGCCGTTGAGAACAGAAAAAGAGTGGAAACAGTTTTGTGTAATCTTTACCACAGCAGTTACTGCTACTCCAAATGTAAAGAAGTTTAGGCCTTGTCTACATTTACCAGGAGATCAACGCTGAGGGGCTCAATCTTCCGGGGGTAGATTTAGCAGGTCTAGTAAGACCCACTAAATCAACCACTGATCACATTCCCGTTGACTCTGGTACTCTACTGGATTAAGAAGAGTAAGGGGAGTCAACAGGAGAGTTTTTCCTGTCAATCCCTTGCAGTGGCGATGCTGTAGTAACATAAGCTCAGATACTTTGACTCCAGGTATGCTATTCACGTAGCTGGAGTTATGTACCTTAGTTCGACATTGTTTCCTAGTATAAACCTGGCCTTAGTGTTTGGTATGGGTGAAAGCTTTGGAAACACAAGTACAGGTATTAATCCAACAGCTATGATAAACATGACAGTGTTGCAAAATCTCTCCTCCATTCATTCTCACTCTGAGATGGATTTATATTGTACTACCCATTAAACCAGAGGTGGGGAACCTTAGGCCTGGGGGTCGGATGTGACCCCTGGCTTGCCTGGATCAGGCCCCCAAGGCGCAGGGCTTTCCCCCTACCAACACTGGAGAGCCTGCTCTGGTACTCCAGCCCCCTGCTATGCCTCCAACAGGGCTGGAGCACAGGTGCCACAGTCAGTGGGGGAGGGCTTTTTTTTTTCTTTTGCTTCTCACTGGTGTGTGACCTCCCCCCCCACAAATGATTTTTTTTTTCTGTGGGTCAGTGGCCCTCAATCCAAAAAAAGTTTTCCCACCCCTGGCCTAGACCATGAAATCACATTTATGTGGGTCACCCCTGCTTTATAGGCTTCCTGTAACGGATAGCTGTATCTGGAGAATAGGCCCATAATTCTCTACTACAGTTCATGCTCAGAAGCAATCGTACACTGCAGTCCTTACTAATTGGTAAATTGAATACCCCATCCCATTCCCACCGTGAAAGTGTGTGTGTGGCAGGTGGAATTCATGGTATTTTTGAAACTGGAGTTATTTATGATGGTTGTTCAACAGTAACTTCAGCATGTGGGAGAGGAGATCCTCCACTTAAAATACAGATATATCCAGGAGAGCACATTGCACTTAGCTGTTAGTTCTTGACTCCCCCAGAACTACATAAAACCTTATATGTTGGCAGCAGAGGAGCCTTTGCTGAGATTGGAATTTTCCTCCAAAATATATTCTGCCAGAGCTCCTGGAATCCAGGACAGGTCCCCTTGAAGGTTTCTTGCTACTTTAATGCTCATCCAGAACCTCCACATGGACCAGCCACAGTGTGACTCTGAACATACACAGAAAGTAGACAGACTTTCTGTTTTTAAGATCTTGTTCAGAACAACAACATACAGTAAATTGCATGGACTTAATTAATCTGTCTTGGAAGGAAGGAAGAAAGATTCAAGAGACTGCTGACATCTTAACTTGAAAAACTTAAAAAACAACAAATAGTCTGGTAGCACTTTAAAATCTAATAAAATATGGTATCAGAGCTTTCATGGTATCATGAGCTTTCATGGGCACAGCCCATCCACTTCTTCAGATGACCAGAGTGTTGGATGTCCAGAACCAAAATAAATGAGCCCAAAATAACTTGAGTTCAGAGTGTCTGTATTCCAAACTTGATCCTTACCTCTTTAAGGCCAACCTTCACCAGCTATTAAAATCTTTGGTAAATGAAATAACCAATCATTCATTTTCTGATATAGCAGTAAAACTAATCTGAAAAATTGTCAAAATAAATCAGTATTTAATGATGTACTTCTAAATATGAAACCTACATCTATCTCTGAATTGTGAAGCATATGTATTAAGGTTATGACTACCCACAAGAATGCACTTTTATGTAGAAAATCATGATTAAATCGAGTCTTCCTGATCAGTAACTTTTAAATCATGATTTAAATCAGCTCCACCCTACCACTTATCCAAGTTCATTTATTTAAAGTTGATGAAATTCACATTTACTGCCTCCGAAATTCTCTGTAATACACCATATTAAAAACTCCCACCCCACTAAAATGTTCATATCATTCTTTCACCCAAAATATATGCATTGTTATCCAGAATTACCTTGCTGTTCTTTAAAGACACAATCTACTTTGTTCTAATGTACAAATCAAATCTATATCTTGAGAAATGAAAGAGTTGCTTAAAGAAACAATTTTTAAAAGTTTCTATCAAGAGTCTATCATTCATTAATTTTGTCTCATTGTATTTGTCATGATAACAAGATGTCTTTTATAGAAGTTACTGCTTTCAAGAAATTTGAAATTCTTCTGAAACTTGATGAGTAATAGAAGCAAGACTATATTTATCTTAAATTAATGAAATTACTTAAATATCCTTTCTACCCCTAAGCTCCATCACTGAGACTCAGAGGAGAAAAACAAATACTTTAATAAAACACACTTTTATTATTACATGCAGATTGTGCATGTCAAAAGCCTACTAGTCTTATTTCAATGTACTTTCTGCTCATTATGACAAGCACATAATACAATCTATGTAGCACTTTAAAGACTAACAAGATGGTTTATTAGATGATGAGCTTTCGTGGCCCAGACTAACACGGCTACATTTCTATCATAATACAATCTGTCTGTGTTTTAATCCATTATTTAATTTTGATTTTAGGACACATACCCCTACTTGTTCTCTCACTTATCTTTAAACACTCCATAAATGATATTTAACTACAGTAATAGAAGCTACACCCGTTTCTTTATGAGAGGGATAGGTCAGCTTTTGGCTATAAGCATTATTCAAACCTATAAAGGTCAATTTTTACTTTATTTTATTCCAGAAGTCAGAATGTCCTTGCTTTTTAAGACGCTGGAGGCATACTGACCTATTAGTGGTATGCCATATTTGGTGCATTATTACCGACCCACAAAACCTAACATGTTTCAAGTGTTTGGATTAAACTATACATCCTTTATATGGGTGAAACTGTACATAGCAAGGGAATATTGGGAGTATTTTTAGTAGTTAATATTACATAGTACATACACTGAATTACATAATCATTCTAATCAGGACATTGTTTTTTCTAGAAAAGCATTTTGGTAATTCTATTTTATATTAATTTAGCGCTTCAGAGACTGAAGTTCTTTTAATGACTTAAGCATGTATTTTAAAAGTGAAAAAATAGTAGAAACTTATCATAAAAGGATAGATAACATTGTATCAATATATCTTAGCAATAATGTTTGTTCTATTAATTTTGATATGACCCCTTTTAAAATGCTTAATAGCTTTTAATTTGAAAATTATCTTCTGTTCATGCTTAGAAATCTTGGTTTCAAATTATATATATATATTTCCATGTTCCAGAAGGGTGGAACAGCTTACTTCTCCCCTCCCCAAGGAATAATATGCATAATAGAGTGAAGAGAAGGTAAACCGCTAAAGCAAAGAATACCTATGTTAATGTATGAGTAAAGTAAAATCAGATAAGGTGTAATTAAACAATGCTAGCATATATAAAACTTTCATTGGTTCTAAAAGCACTGGCAGAGGTGAATCCCAGAGAACTTGGTGCCAATCTACATTGAAAATTTGACTTTTTCAGGAAACCCAATATGGGAGAATTTAAAAACAGAAAAGTAAAGGAAATGGAAGGCTATGATAAGATTTTTTGTTTTGTAATTTCAAAGTACTTTGTGAACAAGGCAGTTTCACCTGAAAGCCTTTTAGTATTTTGTTCTAACTATAACTTCTTGTCTTAACAGTTACAAGACCGCACACAGTTTAGTGACCGAGATTTAGCCACGCTCAAGAAATACTGGGACAATGGCATGACCAGTCTGGGCTCAGTCTGCAGAGAAAAAATTGAAGCTGTTGCTGCAGAATTAAATGTTGATTGTGAAATAGTGCGGGTAAGAACTGAACAGTCTCCCTTATCTTGTTTCAGAACCAAAAATAGCATAGATTTTAAAAAAAACTTTTAAAACTGCTTGAGCTAGCCAGAAATAGATTTCACATATTAAATAATGAATGGACTGTTAGGCTGTACTCTTGCTCTTTCACCAGTCTATATATAGATAAGTCCTCTGGTGAGAGAGGTTTTTTATTGATCAGCAGCAAGAGCAGCTCTACAAAACATTTGACATTCCATTTAGAGTGGAATTTATATAAGGTTTTAAATGAGTGAGAGTATCCCAGCAGATTGAAAAGAACTAGCAATTATGATGGGATTAAAATATAAAATACTGCTAGGGATAAGAGAATACTTCTGATGTAAAATCATCAAAAACATGTGAAAGAAATTGATCAAAATGGGGGAGGGAATACTTTTCAGGAACCAGGATCTGATGTGACAAGGGGGCAAAGGATATTCTGAAGGATGCTGGGGAATTTCCATGTAATAGTCCCTATAGTGATCAATAATTCCCTTAGGGAAGAAAAATGAACATAAGGTTGATGTGCTTCAGCCATGTAGTATAACGGAAGAAAATAGTAGACTAATACTAGACACCAGTACAGAGGAATGCAATTCTGGGGGCATTCCAAAAATATATGGATTTTAGGAGCTCTTCTAGCTTGAATTTGGAATCTGGATACTACACCAGAAGACAGAGCTGTAAAATTATCATCACTATGATGGTCACATATATATAGAGAGTGTATATAGATACATCATTCACATGGATTGGGAAAGTGATAATCTCTTCATTCAATACTAATGAAACTCTGTATAAGGTACAATCTACAATTCTGAGTCCTGACCTAATAGAAAGTTAGATGGAATTTAGAGCAGTTAGGGGATGAGAAGAGTGGAAAAAATGATGTAATTTGGATGTGTGATGACTAAGAGGGAGCACAGTTGGAACTGTTTACAAATATTGAACTAGTTTGCCAAAGCAAGTGGTGGAAGTTCTTTTGCCTGACTTGTTTCTGCCTGACTATATTG